TTAATTAAGTAATTAATACTGTACAGTACACATAAACAAATATATATGTTTAGGTTTTTTTTACTAAAATAATGATATATTTTTTTATTTTAATTAATACTACATTTTACTTTAAGAAGTCATTTAAATTACTTCTTAAAATTAATCAAATCACCTAATTAATAAAATTTTTTAACATGTTTTTTTTTTATTTTTCTTATTCATAATTATAAATTTTTTTTCCTAACCTCTATTCTTATAGTACATGTTAAGTGTGATAAGTATATTTTTTTATTATAAATTTATGTTGAAAGAATAATATTGACCTTTAATTTATCAATTATTTAATTAAATTTATTCACATAATAATGATACTAAAATTAATGGTAATTTTTATTTTTTATATAAATTAATGACAAAAAGGTGTCCATAAAGACAAAAATTAGGACATATAAGTACTTTAAATATAATGAATCTTTATAAAATTATTTAAATATTTTTAATTAACATTTTTTTATATTGATTAACTAAAGAAACCTTAGTCTTTTCATTATCATTCTTTACATTTTAATTGTCTTTCAACCAAAATTTTCAATCCCAAAAAGTATTTAAAAAATTTTAAAGGGAATTATGATATTTAAAGTATCAAGGTATTTTGATTTTTGCCTTTAGGGATACTTTTTTGTCATTAATTTCTATAAAAAATGTAAAAATTAATATTAATTTTAATGTTATTGCTACGTAAATAAATTTAATTAGATAATTGATAAATTAATGATTAACATTTATTTTTCCAATCTAAATTCATGATAGAAAATATATTTATTACATTTTAATATGTGCTCTAATAGTAAAGATTAAAAAAACTCTTTTACAACAATTAATGAGAAAAATGAAGAACATGTTAAAATTTTTTTTTATTAATTAGGTGATTTAATTAAATTTAAAAAATAATTTAAGAGAACTATTGAAGTAAAATGCATTATTGATTAAAATAAAAATATATCATTATTTAAATAAAAAAATGCTACTAAGCATATGTATAATGTATGATATTAATTAACTAATTTACTAAAAAATTAATTGATTAAAAATTATATTATTACTCAAAATAAATGAAATAAAGACAAGAAGACATACGTAAAAGCGTCCAATGCTATGCAAGCCGTTAACAATTGGCGTCTCCGAGCTCAGATAGTAGAGGGGCTAATTTGCTTCAATGGTGGGGTTATATTTACTCTTCTTTTAGTTTAGGGGCTGATATCTTATTATTGGAAAAGTTGAGGGGTTTGAGAAGGGTTTTTTCCTATTTAGTTTAAAGTAGAAAAAAAAAAAAAAAAAAAAACCTCGTTCACCCTTACAGTACTGCCCGTAACAGCACCATAAGAATTCAGTTGATTGACCCGCGGGTTTCCCGGGTATT